GAGTTTTAACCATGAATACTGGATCTCTGATCTAAATAAATTGAAGATCAAACCTGCCGCAACTGTTGACCTTTTTGACCAGTTATATTACCACATCATAGTAAATGAAAATGTTATTCAGGTGGTTAAGCCTAACATTGAGCTTGGAGACACAAACACGCTGCAATGCTCTAACGACGTTGTGCAGCAAACGCGAAGAGTTTGTCGCGCCCAAACTTCAAGGAAAACTTGGTAACATACCATAATTACTGGCAGCCTCGGGCAACCATTAGACCCATCATGTATAGGCCACATGCTGAATGGCACGAGTTGGCCTGATGATGCAACGAACCATCGCAGAAATTCAATAGCAAACGGGTACAAGCTAACGCGTAAGAAATCCGGGTGCCTGCAGGATGAGAAATGCAAAACTAATAGTTTCACATTAAAAACATAATATCAGTCTAGGGCATGTGTAGAGCTACGTAATTCGTATATTGGGATTCCCGATGTCGAACGTCGGCCCTTAAATTTTCGCAATGTGGAGCATTGATGAAACACAAGGAACCTGCCGGTGACACTTAAATTAGGGCAGTAATGGTCAAAGCCTGCATAAGCCATTTGTTAAAAATGAAAAAATAAACCAGTCCTTGTGCCTGATTGCTGTTCGACTCTTACCATTTTTCTGCTTACATAGGTCATAAAAATAAACGCTTAGGATCACTGTTGTATGCGCACAACATTTATGAATGCCTAAGCAGAGGGCCAGCCATTATGTGACCACACACAATGTGGTGAATGACCCGGATAGCTTTGTAGAAACTGTGTAAACCCGCCACCGTCAAACCCAACACATACTAACCTCACTTGTTCGCCAATTCCCGTCAACATTCACACTATAAACTTGATCAACTAGCCGTTCCCTCTTCATTCTTCACGTTATCTGCCAACAACAGGTAATTCTAAACTACTTTTCAGCACAAACGTTCATTCAAAGTGGACGTGAGCCTATCGATAGAGCTGTGATACCATTGTGTAGCTTGCGCTCTTGACACCCACATCCAATTCCCTTCACAGTTCTGTACGGGTTTTCTCCAGGATACTATCGTTTACTGTGACTGGTTCTGAAGTAGCCACAGACGACGCTGAACAGCTTCGCTTTTCAACACGTACCAGTTTCGCTGTTGCGAACAAGTGCCCTGTTCTTGCAGGCAGCGCGGAATACAGGGAGACAGTGACAAGGGATTACTGGAACCATTGTTGTTGGCTCGTTCGTCCAGCCCTGTAGTGTGGTCGAAAAAGTTTCAGCGAACAAGCCAATGACAATCTAAGCTACCTGAGCTACCAACTGTAAAAATCAGACTTGCATAAGCTGATGCTTCTAATATGGACCAGAATTGTAACTATGTAGGGATATTTTCCTCAGGAAACTTCAAACAGCTAGCATTTATTTGAATATTTTCGGCCTGTGATTTCCATTCTCGCTGACGAATAAGAGTTTTCTGTTGCCTCTCAATTTGGACTAAACTTGTCCACAATTTCGCCTTATCAACCTCGTCGTCCGCGACAGGAGGCCCGTATTTTTGTACATCCCCTGTCCAAGAATGGAAAGTCTGGGAAACAGTTATGTGGCCTCCACCCGTGCTGCCGTTACACTGTCCATATGGTCCATCGGATCCAGTTCAGTTAACTTTATTTTCATCTGCTGCACTTAATTCCCCAACTTGACGCTGCTTAAAAGCAGCTGGGGCGATAGAATTGTACTCTACATTTTTGGCTATTCAAGCATTTCGGTCACAAATCATAATCACCACTTCTGATCTTAATTTTCAAGCGCCTGTGGACATGCAAAATTTGTGCCCGAGTGCACCCGCACTGAGGAAGATATATTGTACCTTCCAGACATTTGAACCGGCGCACCACCTTTAAGATGTCATCCCCAATTTCCCGACCCAAACAATCCTTGCGTTCACATAATGTAGCCCGAAATAGGTAGCATGCAAGGCTAACATTTCCATTTGGTGTTTGCGAAGAAATGACCTCCAAGATGGCTCCATGCAGATATCCACCCGGCTTGACAAACATACAAGAAAACCCGTCCTCCGTCCCCTCCAGTGAACTATGCAAGCCATTTTTCTTTACTCAGCTAGCACTAAGCTGCCGTTACGCACTAAAATTCATGCCAAATTTGCCGGTTTCCTACCTAACACCGCCACCTGTCCACTTCTTCCTTACAATCACCGCACCTCTCAGTCATCCGTGTTGACCGTCTGGGTTTAGTCTTTCCCACAGCTACACAAACGACGCCCGTTCTAGCGCCAACACTTTTAGGCACTTAATTCATCCTTAACCTCCCTTGAACTGTAAGCTTGTGCCGGTGCAACCTAACCAGCATGAATCTACAGCGATAAGGCCAGTATCACGGACGAAATTGCTGAACTAACGGGGCTGTTCGCCCTCTAGGTCACCGCACTAGGTTTTGTCCAACAAGTGCTGGCTGTACATGGCTACCAGAGTGCATGAGTTTGTGAAAGCAGTCTGAAGCGACATATCACGCTAATGTGTGTTTGGTATGTGTATGCTCACTTGAAAACACTCTTGTGTGTTAGATATATGTGCCCCTTCGATTATATTCACGTGTGAAAACCATTGTCGTTCCTCGAAACTACGGGTTAACTGCCTTTCATATCTGGTTTTACTCGCCGCCTCCCTCATCCGTCCGCGAGTTTTGCGCAGTAATTTCAGCCTTTTCCACTTAAGCATACTACTTCTAGTAGATGATAGGTATCGACCTTAACGCCTGGTAACCCCTTGGCTTTCCATTTTGTTTCATAATCTGTTGCATTTTTCTTTCCATTGTCAACAGGAGAACTTCTTAAATGCAAGCGATTACACACCCGATTTATAGCGGCTGAGGGCGGCACGAACACACAACAACGGACCGACATTTATCATATCCGTCCGTTGCTAACTGACACAGAGGCTCACCATCAGATCTGTGCAATCATTTTCTACATTCACTTGTCCTAATATGGCTTTTTTCTGCCAGCTAAACTCACCAATTAGGTGACATCTACACCACCGGTGATGGCATTCAAATGATGAACTGCATGTTGCACATTTTCCCGGAAACGTCCAGAAAATTGCTTCAGTATTCTAGGAGGGTCAAGCCGCTTGCAAACCTAATTCTCGCGTGGTCAGTGCTCTTGCCTGGAGGTTCTTTCCGGAAGGACGCAACCAGCGGGGTCCTCCGAGAACTTGGCAGTGTGTCCACGCTTTTCGCAAATGCAGCAACATGCTCTTATCACTCAACTCCTTGACAATGACCAGCCTTTTTGCTGTTGAGCCGAAAGCATGGTACAAATACCCGCACTTCATCTAATAAAGATCAATGCTCGGTGCCGATGACGCCAAGTTAACTAAAAGACCAGGTCATCAACCGATTACCAGCACCCAGGGCACAGATCGATTGCTGATGGCCCAAAAGGCCATTTTACGGATGATCCAACGCACCTTCTCCCGTATTATTCGCATGAACTTCCAAATACTCTATGGGGCCTACGTCAGACCGCTCCTGGAGTACGCCAACCAAGTTGTCTACCCAGGATTCACAAAAGACGTCACCCTCATTGAGCGTGTCCAGCGGGTCGCTACGAGAATGGTTGCCGGCCTCAAATCCGCGGACTACGAAACGCGTCTCGCGATGCTTGATCTCTTTCCCCTGGAGTACCGTCGCCTCCGAGGGGACCTAATTCTTACTTACGCCTGTTTGAACAAAGCTTAGCAAACAGGTTTTTTACCGTTGACCCAGCAAACACACGGAGGGGGCATTGTAAGAAAATTTTCAAGCTCAGAGCACACACATTCATCAGACAAAATTGTTTCTCATTTCGGGTAGTAGCTGTGTGGAATGACCTTCTTCCGACGGTTGTCCACGCTCCTTCTACAACCCAGTTTAATGCACTGTTAGACGATTATTTATGCGAACCCTCGCGCTGGCAAGCATGCTGCCCCGCGTTGGGAACATAAAGAGCAGTGTCCTTTTTCACTTGTGCCCTGCAGGTGAACGACAGCTGCTGAACGACGAGAACAAAACCGACCCGGAAAAACCTTTGGGGACTGGATAACACCCGGCATTTCCCCCCCTATAAAGTACCTTCATTCCTCGAAAAGGGCGACCTGACCGATCAGTTTTGTTCACTGTGTACATCAGAGTGAGTCTATTACTCTACCTTTCATCCGCTTGTTCCTGAAACATTTCAGTATTGCCTCGCCCCTAAGACTGCAACGTGATGGAGGTAGGTTGGTGAAGGTCCGACAGCAGGCTAGTAAATCAGCCATCGTGTGCAATACATCCTACACAGAGAGACTTTTCCACATCATACACCCACTCTGATTCACGAACACAAACTCAAAGCAACTTTGCCACGCTCTCCCAAACCCCCCAAATATACCACCCCTGGCGTTGATTCATTTCATGGTGGTTGGTAGTGGATTCATTCTGAAGGCGCTAACAGAAGCCGTTGTAGCCGCCTCCTTTCTCCATGTTTTTAAACGAACATTCGCCAGAGCGCCCCCATATCTTTTCCTTCTTCCTAAATGACTTCACTATTCACATCCGGTACTCCTATAAAAATCAAATACTCTTCTAGCTAGTTCTTCTGGCCCGCTAGCGGTGTGGGCCACATCCTCCTTTCACTCCAGCCAAGATACAGAACCGGACGATCCGAGTCTCCAGGCGAATATAACTGTTGTTTCCCTTACCCATGAACCTGTTAAGAGCTTCAAATTCGGAGGCGCCGCAGACGGACCTATCAACCAATCACAACCGGCAGATTTTCATGGCCTGTCCACTCCTCGATTGCGTCCCTTGCTAACTGCAATTTCGGCAACGCCTGATCATGCTACTATCCTGGTGGAATGATAGGTTTTTTAGTTCAAGATATATTGGATAATATAAGGCGATATTTCCGCGAAATTTTTGAGGAGCCACCTATCTTGGGACCTTCTTCCAACCATAGATCCCTGAGCTTACCCTTACCACCCCCGAAGCCCGAACGAGTTATTAACCCACTTGCCACTTTTTCCACGAATAGGCTCAGTGGTTTCGACTCTGAGTGTGCATCAGCTATGTTGACTAGAGGTCCAACTGAAATTTTGGAGCGGACGCTTTTCAACGGTGATTTCCAGAGCAGACAATCTACGACCATGCTCTCTTTTGAGAAGGAACGTGTCCAATCATTCGACCATAACAATATAGGCGGGCATCATTTCTGCCCCATTCCATTGGATTCAGACACTTTCTGTGATGTGTGTAGTTGGCCCATTTGCAATTTAGGCAACGACTGGGAGCCCATTTGCCTACGGTGTGCTGGTGAGTCGGCTTGTCTCCATTAATTGGTTTAGTGCTCAGAGATTTTCATTGTCCATTGGTGGTCAACCATATGATACGGTTTTGTGAACGCGGTTATGTAAAGTTTTTATCTGTCCTGTATTTATAGAATGATACGACTTAGAAGGTCTGTGCTTGGGTCGACAATGTGGGTCTTACTCACGGGAGGTTCACAGTTACCCATGAGAAGCCACTGTAGTGAACAACCAAAATAGGGTTTACGAGTGATCCTCACATGACTAAAGTGTAAAGCTGCTTGTTTTTACTTTCAGTGTGTGTTCAATTCTACGTATATATTTTTTTATCAAGGGCAAACCACGCGCTTTGATAGAGATTAACCTAAGTCATTGTAGCCTTTGAGAATAATTTTATATCATTGCTACAGTCTCCCAAAGTAGGGTTTGCCAGGGGTGTTTCCCTGTCTATTTTTGTTCAATTTCTTCATCCACACCATCTTGGTGTGGCACAAAAATAATGTCTTGGTCGACTGAGACGTAGAATGGAGAATTGGTCGAGACAGCTATATACCTAGAGAGTTTACGCTGTCCATATTTTTGAGCGGCATTGAAGTAAGCTCATCGTAATACCATGTCGGAATAGGATTGATCACTATTAGGACTGACAAAACACCTTGTATGATCAACGTACTATTTACCCTCAGACTTGCGTCTCATACATTGAGTTTACGTGTTACGGCGTAATTGAATCCAGTAGTCACATTATATCTGGGACAGGCTTTGTGCCACTGTGATTAGAGCTGTGACTTAGGACACATCTTCGCACAACTGTACATTTGATCTTAATTGTCGGGAGCCTATTCTTATCCTTGCGGTTTGGAGCGCCATTATTGTCCATGTTCACAGAACAGTCTTAGAGCTGAAGTAGCTTTCGCAACGATTTAACCAGCATTTTCGACACCATTGGCCGAAGCAGCTTATGGGCGAACGAAGGTTTACAAAAGTACTGGAATCTACTTACCTCCATACTTCTGGTCATATACATGCGTACGAGGAAATCTCAGCATTTTTGTCGCCCATCAAGTTTGGTACAAAAGCAAATCTCAAATTCACCATACAGTGAGTTTGAATCGTCATCATGCACAATACTCGAACCATGTAGTCCTGATTTATGACGGCGAGCCCAGAGCACACGTGACAGATTGACAACTTCTGTCCTTCGTTCCACTTTTAATTTTCGTTTTCAGGAATGTGAAGCTCTTCTGTTGGATTCGCTAATGGACATGCCCAGTTTCACGCGTTGCAACCTTACTGAAAAGTATGGGTAGCCTCTCGTATTCGCGAGACTTCCCGCACCAGCAGTATCTGTAATACCATGCGCACTCTTACTGGCGTTTAAGGTGCCAGCTTACTAACTGGAAGGTCCGTGTTTCGAACCCAATCTCATCATTTTGACTACTTCTCTTTGGGCTTTGGCAGTATCTCAGTCCTCATACTCCCTTCAGGTGGCCTGGCAGCTATGAACCAAAAGAGTGTTGCAACTGAAAGATTATTATTACTGCTATTATTATTATTATTATTATTATTATTATTATTATTATAAAGGAAGGATCTGCGTGTGCGAACCCTTCTGACAGATTTTTAACATCCGTAGCCCCTTGGGGTGTTTATGGAATGCCTCTACAAGCCCGGTGGTAACGTTCCAATGCACAACCTAGACTAGGCAGTACCAGTAGGATGTCTGCCCTCTATCATCAATGCCTACGAACAGTTTCTGCATCAGAAAGAATGACAACCTCTTCGGGGGGTTGAGATAAACAGAAACATTTAACGTGAATTATTTGATTAGGTGATCGTCTCCAACGCGTGCCTTTATTCTTCTCATCCTCAGTGAACAAAGCCACAGCACCTGGGACCACCGTACTTCGGTACACGGTTGACGTCTGAAAAATTGAACTGAACTTAGTTTAGCAAGAAGTGTCAGGGTAGGGCCTGTCGGCCTTTGACACCTATGGCGCCGGCTTGAGCTCAGTTTGTATGACAGGTGCACTGCGATCCATACTACTCCATGAACGAACTTCGAAGGTTTTCTTGGGTCTTGTGGGAGTTGCGGATCAACAACCTTCAGGTATGCCCCAACCCCTGAGCTCGAGCTAGTTCAAACCGTAATCCGTGAGTCAAAATATCGAATTTTGAGGTACCACTATGCTTTTGTGCTTTGAAACGCAGCCGGACTTCAGACCTATGTGAACTTACACTGTATTTATTCAGAGACAGAGGTGGGTAAGTTCCCAAGTCAGCTTCGAATTTATTTGGGAACTATAGACTGTCCTGGAAACTGTCACTAGTCATTTTTCTATCTTCGAAAGGGTGCCCGAGGTGACTGTGACAGCCATCTGGCTATTGCCCCTACAGTATTATACCAGGCGTTGGCTTGCGACTGTTAATACTGCATTGAGGTGGAGGCAGTTCAGTTGTTAAGGCGTGAAAGGTCCGCGGTCCGAATCTAACCTCTGCATTTTGACTGCTTCTGTCTAGGCTTGGGCAGCTTAGCAATATCACAGCCCTCATTCTTCCTTGGGGTGACTAGGGTATTATAGTTGAAAGAAGAGGTCCTATTTGTCATATCTTCACACATCTGGCGCCGCACACACTACTTTTCAACACTACTGGTTCCGACTGTGCAGGTAGACCTGCCATACTCCCAATGTATGTCGGAAGCGGCTCACTGTTTCAGTGTGCTTCAATGCAAAGTCTTGCTTCTAGCCTCATTCCATCCCTTTGGGATTTCACTTATTTCCAGTTTAAATACTTTTCGGACGTACGAGTGACGGTTGCACTTTGATAGATAATTTCATGCACACATTTTGAGGCGCGAGTAACTCTTGTCATTTCCGGTCTCAGACGAATTTCCCTGAGGCCTTATTTGTTTTTCAAGTTGTTCACCCAGACAACCGTGGCAGTCTCCACACGAACGCCCAACCCGTCTCCGTATATTCTTCAAGGTTTGAGGACCAGTGTGCATTGTTTTGGTCTTACGCACGGGTCCACCAGACCCCATATCAGGCAAATATCTTGAATTTCTCGATAGCGCCATTGATCCACCAACTTTCATCCATCGCAATTAATCCAAGGGTATTCTAGACGTTTAACTAAGATATCCATCACGCTAATCTTGCTCATAGAGGGATTCTTTCGTAGAGGTTGGTTACCTTGACTTGTTGAACAGTTTGTCTCCAACAGGGATTTTGGACATCTCAATTATGAGGCGAGCCACTTACTATTATTCTACCAGGACGTTTTGGACGCCGCGGACTTTCCACTATCACGTCACGCGTCCGTCCGCGATGGTTGATAGACTGCCAGGTTTCGCAAGGCTAGATGGGAGCAGCTAGAAGCGGACCTTTCCGTCAACGCCTTAACCACTGAGCTATCACGGACTCTGTTGTGACTATCTACAACTTACGCTGTAACGATGTGAATGAATTGTGGCGGGTACGGACGCTGCGAAGCGCTCGATGTTAGTGCCATATTGACATCTGTTTATGTGGACTCGGTCAATCGAAATTCTTTGGATTAATCCTGACGCTTTATAGTCTACACTCCATATTTGTAAGGTTAGTGTCAAAGTACGGGACTAGCAGCCTGCCGAAAGTAACCTTGGATTGATCGGTGGGATATTGTGACAATCATTGGCAATTGGCTTGCACGCCGATTGTCAGGCACGAGGGAAAGTCGCCCCGACTTGTTCAATCATGCCGACAGAACAGGTGCTTGTGCTTTTCGGTGCCTGCTTCACGTTTTTGATTAATCAGACGGATGGATACACCAGCTGCAGACGTAATGAACAGATAGGCTCTGCGGGAAAGTAGTACAACAAATAAAATAATGAGAAAATATTTCATGCGAGGCATAGTAATTTGAATGCTCCCCCTAGTTCTCTGTTTTTTTTCCCTAGATGACATACTGCTGTCATTGTTAATCTGTCAGCAATAATGTTGCTCACGTCTCTGATTGCACGTGTACTTCTGTTCTTTTATGGAAACTAGGGTCTTCTGTTTAACATAATTGAGTGCAGTCACCAAAAGTTTTTCCGTGACTTACATAATCCTTAGGCTAGAATCTGTCAGCTTGAATTCGCGACCGAGCATATTTCCAATAGATGGCAAAGTGATAACTGGCCAGATGAGCGTTGGTGATGTCTAACGGTTCGACTATCCGATATCTACCGAGAATCATTGTCACATAATTCGGAGAGCATCCACTATATTATAATTTTTCCATCCCTCCCCACAGATTGTCACATGACTTGTCATCCTCGTTGTTTGAGCAATGTTCAGGTAACATGCCATGGGAACTACCAAGACAAGTTGAGAGCGACCGGATCCCGATCGAAGACTCCTCAAGGAAGTGCTATAAGTGCCCATGAGGATATTGAAGTGCGTTGTTAAGTAATATATGTTGTGCTTTGTTTATTTCAGACCAGTAACCCATTTTAGGAGGATCGATTTCCTTAAAAATAATTGTACCCGACTGCCCCTCAACTTTGCCAATTTGTTTGGACAACCCCGTACAGCCGGTTAGGTAACAACGTGGGAAAAAGAGAACTAGTGGATAACCACAAACACTGGACGGGGGCCGACAAGAGCACCGTTTCCCTCAAAGGTATTTCAGGGACGCAACCGTAGATTATTCTGTGAACTTTCAAGAGCATCAAGCTTCCTGTCAGCACTTGTTTCTAGATGAGGCTTAGTTGGTAGAGTGCCCTCTGGCACTACGTTTTATCGTCATTGACAACAACACCAGATGAGAACACTGGTCCTTCACTACCGTACGACCATGTCAATTTATTTCAGTAGAGAGAGAGAGAGAAGGAGATTGGGGAAGGAGAAAGACCTAATGCCAGCCTGCTACAAACATCCGAGATGCCTACACCAACAGGCAGTCAGACAATCTGGATAGAAACTGACAGCATAAACGCGACTGACATCGATTATCCAGCATGCCGTTCAATGTCTCCAGCCAAACACGGAGGGTCACGTTGACCCCATCCGTCCAGTACCCACAGCACTCAAATTTTTCGTATCGTCGTCCCTTTCTGCCAGATGGCCCAGTGGTTACAGTGCAAATTTACTGACTGGAAGGCGCGTGGTTCGAACCCGACCTCTGCCTCTCGTCTTTCTCTTTTTAGGCTTAGGCAATCTGGCAGTACTCCCAACCTTCGTGCTTTCTTCTGGTGCATAGCAGTTGGGCACCGAAGGGGTGCTACAGCTGAACGATTTCCTGCCCTTCTGTCCATCTCCAGGTTTCCACAACTCCAAATTGCAAATGAAAAGTCACTTCTCTAGACGGTAAATTAGAATGCGTAACACATTCCCCAGCCACCTTAGTTTACAATGCTGATGCATCTTTTGAGCGTAGTATCATCTGTCTCGTCAAAGACCACTTCCTGATCCCCTGATTCCGAATTTGTGGATCTCAGAGACATCGGTAGTCGAAGACCTGAAGATGTCTTATTTCTTCTGTCCGAAGTGGCGAAGTCTCTCAGTCGTAGAGCAAAACAGTACAGCAATACTGTAGTCCGCTATACGCACCATTTAGGGCCAGGTGAGATGCCTATCACAAGTGGCTCAATTTGGCAAGCGCATCCCTGGCTCATGAGATCTATGCGTCTGTCCTTCACACTACTCTCACAACTGATTCAACTGCAAAGACACTTAGCGTCCCACAACTTCCAATATCACTTTCCTGAGTTCCTTGAGGCATGTTTAAGAACGGCACCCCCGCATCAAAACTTGCAACTTGTGGAGGCTGAGCACATGCCCTAAAACTGGGTGACCGCGATCAGCTCTTTATACAACCTTATTCTTCCTGTTGTTCTTTTAAAATAAGAACAATTTTGTCTGCATATTCCAGGTCGACAAGGGTTTTTAGTTTAGAATGAGATAAGGCTTAAGGTTTGTTTTACTTTTTCACCTGTGTCCAATTCATTCCATCTGTCCTGCTTGAAATTCTTATTTTTTATTCGTTCTGCTTGTACTCTAGGGCCGGTTTCTAGGTTCTTCTGTGTTGTTCCATTTCGCACACCATATTTCCGTTCTGTACTTTGGTCTATTTCCTGACTTGTAGGTTATTTCAAAGCTTGGTATCTTTTACTGTCCTCATGTTGGATTGCTTTCACTTTGGTTTTAGTCGGGTGACCTAAACAACAAACTTGGTCGGCTTTCGTTCGACACAAGCCCTACAGCAACCATAGATGGGGGATCTCCGTCGGGGAAGTCCTGCTTTCCAGACGATAAGAGTAATGGATTTGTTCGTTTGTCTCCATTTCGTGAGTCTCTCTCTGGGCAAGGTCAGGACAGTTCATTGGCCGGTCAATCGTTTCAACATAATCTCAGTGTACCCATTATGGAGGAGGATGTGATCAGCAATGGTAAGGCACTACTTTCGTACTTTACTTTCCGGTAACATCTCCTTTAGTCCAGTCCGACCGCCTACCATTTACGCCTATACCAAGGGTATGGTTCCAGTTTCCTCTTGTCTAGACAAAAAGCAGGCATTGTTCATTGCCTTTTTGGTGGACGATGTGAATGAAGAGTGGAAAGTAAACTTTGGACTGTATACAAATGATTGAAGATATTTCATGGTTCTGCCAAACCAAGTAGTATTCTTTGTTCAGTCGTGAAATACCTATAGCCTTTCGTTCAGACAGATAACGAGCATTTTTGGCCCAGATAGCTTCTTTTATCCTTTTCGGCCCTGCACGTTAACCGGAATCGCGTATGTAAATGTTTTTCGAACGAATTCGGGTCGACACAACTGTTTTGATTTCGGCTGGTTCCAGCGAGTGGAATGCTCTCCTATTTGTTATGGAAGTAGGCAAGGTTTAGTCGGAAGCGTTTGTAAGGTCTGGCGAAAATCTGTGAATATTTGTCAACTCTCCTTTCCATAACACAAGATCCTATAATAAGGTTATCCGTGGTTCTTTGATTTATTGCTGTCCTGCAGTCTTGGGTTGTACTGTCGTACTGACGCAGCTCTTTGCTCTTTGAGTACCGGAGATTTCTGGTCCCAACTTTTGATGAGACTTCTTGTTGCCTGTTGATGTTCATCGCGTCCCAATACTGATACTTCCTATCATGTTTGTCATCCGCGAAGGAACCATCATTTTTTCTTTGTACTTCTAAAGTCTGACTCTTAGAGACAGAGAGTGTGTCATGTAGTTTTTTTATTGGCTCTTAAATATCCCTCAAATTTGCAACAGTTTCCTTACTGTTGGTTCAACCATCCTGCAGATTAGTCGGATGATAATCCCTGTAATCCTTACCAACACCGTTGTTATCCTCCTTTGTGTGTCAAGCTGAACTATTTGGCTTGACACTCCGATCATAACTCATGAATTGGTGTGAATGGGCGCAGTATTTGGCGTTGTCAGAATTGTGTTTTATGCTCGGTTAAAGCTGTGAGATAGTTTCCATTTTTATTGAATTGATTGATGAAACTCAGCCGTCGCTTTCAAGAGTTTGAGTACCGAGAAACCGCTAGCGTATTTAAGACTACGTTCGTCAGACCATTTATCTCTTTTCTGCCGCCCTTTTCTCCCGGCGCACAGGAACGCTCCGTGTTTCGGAGGTAAACCAGAGTCCTCAGCCTACGCAGACTATATACTACACTGCCGTGAGCGACCTATCAAGGTTTCCCGGTCGACGCACTACTTCGCATCCAGATTTTTCGAAGCTGTCGACTGAGGCCACCTCACCCGAAGCACTTCGAGACCCGTTGAATTCAAACGCATTCAAGCCTCCTCCATCCAACAGGAGATCCACTTCAAGGCAACCTTCAGAAATTGGCCAATACGACAAGCGACGGTCAACTAACCTGAAGGCTAGACACTCATTCCTCGCAGGACAGGGCTCAGATGCAACTATCTACACACGTCTATTTTATGACTTCTCCAGTTTAGATCGGGAGGCCATCAGAGCGCATGGCATTCGTGTTAGGGAACTCACCCCAGAAACGCAGCAGCAGCGGATTATCCCGAGCGCTCCTGCTCCATCACCACCAACATATTGTAAAGATGTATCCGAGCCTAGTAAGCTTGGTAATTCGGAATCTTCATTTTCTCCGCCATCATCAGAAGTCGGATACGCTACGGTGATGCAGTCCACCGCTGCAGCGATAAAAACCAGGATCAAACGTACCAAACGTACGGGTTTCACTCCTGCACCTTCGATCCCTCTCACTCCCGTTACTGTCGGACCACGAGGTCGTTTGCCATATACAGCCGCTCAGCTGAATGAACGTTTAAATGTATTCAATGCAAACGAGTTCGGACTACAGTCACGATTGGTAAGAAACTCAGGAATGCTAGTACAAGTTGGATCATTCTGTAGGAAATTTCTCAGGTCCTTAAGTCAGTTGATCTTTTGAACGTATGCACGGAATATCTCACCTGGGCTTATCACTTTTGGCGCACGCTCCAACTCAAACTATCTCCATCCTAGTCGAGTGGGTGGCAGCTTTTAAAGGCTTTTCATTTAAACGTCCTACGAAGTGTTGAGTACTCCCAAGTGGCATGGGGTTTTCCATGGTAAACGAGATGATAAAGAACACACTGTTGCATTGTTTTCAGTAACTAGGAAACGCTTGGAACCGATCAAGGAGTTGTCTTTCCCAGAAAGTTTGGCAGACAACCGGCGGATTTTTTTTATCGGTAGCGGCTTGTTTTTGACAAAGCTTCGGCAGGCCAAAGATGGGCAAGGGCCAGTTAGCAAGATCTCATAGTAGCAGGCTAATTCATTGTTAGGTGGTGGCTAGAGGTTTTTATCAGTATGATGAACCAGCCTTGCGACCGATTAGTTAGGGAGGAAACCCCGCATGGATTTCAGTTCGGTCTGGATTTGCTTGTAGACCCCTCGTGAATGCATTTTACAAGTTTTTTTTGGTATGTGTGGGTCAATTAATGCTAGAACAGATACGTTGAGGATGGATCCCACGAGTTTCCAGCCGTATGTTTCGTACAATCCCCTCTGGAGCGACAAATTCAAGACTATCGATTTCTAGGGGTATCCCAACAGTCTGCATCCCCGCATACTGTTTGGTATGGAAATAGATCTCACTTTAGGCACACTAACATTCCAGGTTTGTATGAAACAGGTTGGGAAATTAAACACTACCGTTCATCAAAAACAACAAATTGGGCAGCCCTAAGGCGACTTGCCGTATTGCTTCTTGGTAGAATTTTAGAGGACCTATAGCTCTGTGCACAAAACATATCTACCAGACAGCAACCCAGCGAGAAAAAACGGGCTTTAGGAAAGTGATTTTTTATTTAAGTTTGTATGAGCAATTTTTAGATAAGGTTTTGACCCCGGTATCAGGACCTGGTAAGAAGTGAATTGGCACAGAGGTCATTCCATACAAAGCGGAAACGTGTAAGGTCATTCCGGGGTTTCCAGATATGTCCAACTTTCGAATCGCGTTTTGGAGAGAAAAAACGCTACACTCAATAGCGGTGCAATTCTGGGATGGCCTCACTATTGAAAGAACTGGAGACTATGTATTTGAATTGAGTGCAGTGACTGTGGTAGGAAACAGTAGCCACTGGACCGTACAGCAGAGCATAAGAGTAGACAAATACAAAGCGCCCAGAAACACAGACGGGTATCAGGCTTTGATGAAAACCTCGGCGTTGACGGAGCCTACACAAAACAGGGCGGAATAAATCTAGTTCAGCGATTGACGCCCATGACGGTGGAAATAGTCAAGATCCTGAATGTGAATAGAAAAGAGGCCGTGCAGCTGATGAGCATGTGGCGAGGAGTTTCAGATTTATCTGCGTCCGAACGAAATTGGTGGCTCCGCCAATTTTTCCGCAGCTTCCGCTGAAGGCATGGAAAGGAACAGCTGCGCCTAATTATGGTCTACTTTTCGTTTTCTTCGGTTGTACTCAATCCTTGTAGCGTTCAACACTACCGATTCGGGGTCATTTTCCCACTCGAAATCATGGGTCGCCACGTGCTCCCACTAATAAATCTATACCACTGTGGAACACCTAGCTGTGTGTGAGAGGTGTAACTTTGATGCGCACTTGTTGTTGACCTCACAAGACAATGGAGAACTTAAATAACGTTAGCTGTGGTGAATACTGTTTGATAATTGGTCTTGTTTATTGATCCATGTAATGCTCAACAACCAAGACGTGCGTTGGAAATAGTCCGTTCCACCCAAAGCATCACGACGAAAATCCGTGATAAATTTTTACTGTCGCATCGCACTCTTCGATGTAAAAAAAATCCCCTTGAGTTTTCGCAATGGTCGCGTTCTTTTGGTTCTCTCGAAATTACGCTACATGTTTAATATTGCGGATTTCTATTGTTGAACATGAAACATCCTCTCTGGTTTGCTTCAATCAGCTTTCATTCGCGAATAAGATAACTATTTTATTCAACGGATGAGTTTATTCAACCACATAAACTCTCATGTGCATATCCCAGCTTTTGCGATCACAAATTACCTCTTATGAGGGTATTCTTTGAGCGTAAGTGATACGATAGTTTACTCGACAACCGCCCAACGTGTGGTACTTCTGTGAAAGTCATGACTTGAGCGGGCTGCGGAACTGCCACTTTGGGGAACTCCGTCAATCAATATTCATAGAACTCAGAAAGATACAGATAGCCCATAGGATCTGTTGAGTAGGTACTAGAGCCAGCTTTTACCCCCAAAGTAGGCAGATGGCTTTATTTGCTTAGAGCAGAAACAACAGCTAATTGGGTATAAACTTCGGTTCGTCAACTAAGCAGGCGAGACGAAACATAACGCAATTATCATACGTTAAGGTCTTGAGCCGGTGGTCAACTGCCGTACCGAAACTGTTCCCCTATTTGGGTCTCGACAATAAAAGTAAATCATAGCTCTAGGTCTGTCTTGCAGTTGATATAGGTTCCTATCCTCTACATTTTATTCTTTTTTTCACAGTCAGGTTTTCGAATACATTGTCAGTGTGGTATTCGATACTGATCTTGTGCTGTCGATGATGCGAATACAGTAACTGTGAAAATCTCGGTATACGCAGGTATTAATTGGGATATTTTGTGAGCGTTTAGGGTTTCATTTCTGGTTCTCATCCTTCAGTTTGGGTCTAACCAAACTAAAAAGGCATTCGGCCATTTCGTTGTCATTTTCCACCATCCGTGCGCACGACTATTAAGGGACATTCGAACTCGCAACCCTCCCGACAACAATAGTTAAACTATAGGTAGCTGATGGGCTAGAAAGATCGAGTGAAGAATCACGACCGGCTATTCTTCCTCCTTGTCTCCAAGAGGTGCTATTTGTTTACAAGTTTTATACATCCTGACCGACAAAATACTATGTGACCCACGACATGTGGTGACCTCAACACTATTGTGTATTGTAGGACTACACCCTCTGACGCCACTATTATCCTTGTGCAGTGGACTGTACTTGAATAGATCCGCAGAAACATCCATTACTTCCCCGCTTTCGGTACAAGATCCCTAAATCCTTCTTTTCTCTTTGGCTCTAATCAAATATTTTTTGTCTGCACTCAGGTTCCCTCTTTACCTGCTGGGGATTGTGAAGGCCAGGTGCGGATCCACATCAATCTCATCCGCCCAATACACATGTTGCTAACAGTTCGTCCAGTTTCCATCTTCGATTTAGTTGGAAAAGAAGATGAAGATGACACAGGTGATCTGGATTCTGACGAGTTTCTTGCCCCTCTTGAACCTGGTCTTGTGAACTCCTCTGCGAATGGGGTAGCTAAACGTGACTCAATTCCAAACGGCCAAACAACTGATGGCGTCCAGTTTTTCCCTCCCAAATCAGCTGTCACTGCAAGTGCACCTCCATTTTCGGCGGACTATCCTGTTTCTTCTGTTCAACGGAGAATTTCCAAACGTCTGTTTGGCCCACATCCACAATCTTCTACTTTCTGGCTTCCCAGAGGAAGCACTAAGTTACTTTATGTTCGACTGTAAGTTCCTTTTCCGAGGCTACGCTCATATTACCCCTTAATTTGGGCAACATCCGGTTTTTAGCACAATATCGTTGTCATGTCAAGGGACCCGGTTACATATTCTATTGCTGCTTAGAAAACTAAAGATAATTAACCACCGTACTCTACTACCGTCAGTCCGAAATACGTCGGCACTCGCAAATCTGTCCATACATCATATTCTTCTGGTTGCGGTCTTACTTTTCTCTAAGGTCTCTTGTTGAACAGTGCTTGAGTTGAGACCTGTGGCGTGTTTCCCTTCTAACTCAGTGTGATGACCTCTGTGTTTCTTGGTCTCGGCTTGTGGATACCTAATCTCCATCGCCGATCTCTGTTTCTTTGGTCGGAAGCTCATTTTGCTTATTCCAATGTAGACAGTGGTTCTGCAACACGGCCAGTTAGTTGAAGTTTCTTCGACGATTTTCGGATTATCTTCAGCTTGAAGGGTTTTTCGCCATGAAATCCTGCATGTTTGTAACTAGTCATGGCCAGACATTTGTTTGCTGCGTACACTATTCAAGTTGTCCGTAAGCACTCACAGTTAGGAGCCGTGTACCAAGGCGGCTGTTAACCAATTTCACTAGTGGAGTGCTTGCTTTCCGTTTTTTACCTACTGTCGTTTTCTAGACGGTTTCCACCAACGTCGTTTTGTTTTTCACCACAGGCCTTTTCGAAAAAATGGTTCTGCGTGATGAAAATACCAGGGTCTAGGCCTTGTCATGCGTTCTGGCTGTAGTTGACGAGCCGCAGGGCCTAGAATGGGATTTATGTCAACGAACCGCACGCGTCTTAGACCCTACGTTTAAGTTGGTCAATGACAACCGTTTTATAAGAGTAGATAATCTATAGATAGTAGTAGATAATAGATAATAGATAATAGTAGATAATCTATAATCGGGTTACTATCCTAGCTACCAGATCAATTATCCCAAACTTTATGGTGTACTCTCCATATAGTCACTGAGTTTTTTATGGTAACCTGCCTTGTTTCGAATAACCAGAGTGATTCCAAGCCACGTAGAACGTGTAGTGTACTTGGTTCCTGATCGATAAGATTGCTTAGAAGATATAACTTCCCACGATTCGCATGGGTCTTCTGCGTGAGTCGTTACTCGAGGGTTGAGTCACGATCAGATCATGTGGCATGAATCTCCTGTTTGAAATATGATTAGTGAATCAAGCCCACTGCTAACCAGCTACTTGTGATCAAGTGGAAAGTGTTCAGCCCCTATTTGGAAGGTTGTGGGAGATTGTAAGGTTCATATCGCGGATAAGTCTTGATAAGGGCGAAACATTTGGTGTTAGGGTTTTTGGCAGAGACGAGTCCTCTTTATCTCTTTCACCTTCCACACTACTATGCCTGTCGGCCTTTCAGCGCAGTTCACATCAATTGTAGGAGGGAATAGACATATGTCATAGCCTTTTCATAGTAACGGGGCGTCGAAATAAAGCTAGAGATGAATTTCTTGACTTTTCCCCAGACATTGACGACGTTGTTGATGATCTGTTAACTTAATTGCACTTTCTCGGTACACTGTTGTTTCCGCTTCGTGACGTGACACACTGAGCAGATGTGCATCTGTTTTCGGAGTGACGCGTTCCGTAGGTTTTACTTTAAATTGTATTGATCGATATGCGTGGATAAATGTTCCTTTCTTTCCTGACTTAGATCAGACCGTTATCCCCTACTTGATCCTACCATTCACGATTCACCTTCTCGCTTCTTCTCTCCCCCTGTTCAGGTCCACTACAACGAAAGAGGTGATCACCACTCTTCTACATCGGTTCCAAATAGAGGACAATCCCCAAAAATTTGCTCTTTACGAACACACCATCGAAGGAGAGCAGGAAGGTAACGTGACTGTTGTTGAATTTCACTTCCCACAGGCCAATTCAGTTGTTGATTACCGTTCTCGTCAGTGAGCTACAGTACTTGATTGTCAACAATCTGAGATTATCTAATAGTTACAATTGCCATCGTAGTATCTTCTGCGCTTGTAGTTTGTAATTGATTGGAGAACTGTCAAAAAGTCAGGTGTCCACTGTACATCTACCAGTCTTGCGGTTTTTTGTGACTTCATGTTTTAGCGTTGATCTCGCCGGAAGCAACATCAGTCAGATGCGTAGAATAGCACTAGATCACATGTGCTTTAGTGTTGTGATGATCGAAGTGGGCTCCACATTTTAGGTCATACAATGCCGTTCAAGACCAACTACGATGCTTCCGAATGACAAATTTGTTAGTATTAGCATGGTGTGACATCATTTTAATAATTATCTGTCGATCTTTGAATTGTTCTCTTGCTTTCAAGGCACAGCCTATTTGTCAATAAGTCGGCGTGCTAACCGAATTTATCGTTTCAGAGGGGTTTGGTAAACAATCGACTTCCCAATCGGTCCCAAACATTTTCCAATTGATCCAATACATCGTTCTTTTGTTTCCGTAGTCCACTCTTAGTTTCAGTGCCTTGCAGCAGATTTCTACGGTGTTTTACCTCAAATTAATCAAGAAAAACACTACTGTGTATGCTATCCAAACTGTTTATACAATTCCTGCTTTGTCCGCGTACCTACACCTATCGATTTTCGGTGACCACCGTCACTGCACGAAGTGCACCGGTGTGCCTTTGTCTGATGCGTAGTACCAAATTATCATATGCTCGTCTGACCTTTGTTCATGCTTGTGCGTGCAACTAGAGCACCTCGTTGTTGCCTCTCGGTTGTCGATAGGGTCAGCTAGGTTGGGTAGTTGCCAAAATGGTCTTTTAGTGGACGGCCGAGTTGGAAACGTTTGTGTGGTAAATGTGCATTGTTGACAATCATGTGTTCATATTTTCCGTGTTGTCTTTAATAGCCAGTCGCGTTCAACATGGCTGCACGGGGACGTCTTCAATGCACCCTCAAATATGTTTTGTGTAGTGACGAACGGATTCTAATTCTTGTTTTTGTAATACTAGTGCGATTAGGTTATTGATATCATACCCTGAGTTCACAAATGTGAAGTGATTGACGTAGAGGCCTTAAATTCGTTTGGATTCATTATGCCGCGGAAGACCTGTTTGCACTAACACTTTCATGATAGCTGATCCTAGAAGAATACAAACTGCTATCACGGCTCGTACTTTGACCATCCGATGTTCTATCTGTTTTAACGATCGTTACTCCAGAGCTGTGAATTTCGGAGGCAGTGTGCTTGGCAGCATGTTGTTCTCTTTGGTTTCCGTAGTAATATTCGGGAACATCACTTCATTATTGGGGCTAGTCAAGAATCTCTCCGGAACGCGTATCACGATGAATTCAGTAGTGTGAACGTTTTCGTATTTCAAGATAGTTGGTGCTTTCCTTCCGAAGAACATGACTTTTTCGGGAGCGACCATTTAGCGAAGTGCCACAGTGAAGTTGGGGCAGCAGTTTCTCCTCGAGGACAAACTCAAGGATCCTTGTTTGCAAACCACCTTCGTTTTTGTAATTCTAGTCTCCTATCCTGACCACTATTTATCTGCAAATTATTGAATCGCTAGTTTCTCCATTTATTTTAATTTCCATTTCCATTTTTATGCAAATTCTTCGCTTTTCTCTCACGCTTAACTTTCACAGCTCACTTGATTTCCAGTCCGGCCGTTTCAGTTAACCTGTCTTCCGGTATATCCTGGCTTATGGTTCATCCAAAAGGCTCCTGCAGCGACAGATCGCGCTTGCACGGATCTTTATGGAGAGTAGATAGATGAAACTGTGTTTATGAGAACTCTTCGAGTTTACGCATCACACTCATTTACTCCCAGCTTTCCATGTTTCTTCGTGTAATCCTCTCTTGGGGACTTTTCTTGCCCGTATTTCGATGCATTTTGCTCAGCTCGGGACTGCCGAATACATTCTGTCATTTTCCCACAACGAATGTCCCCACGAGGTTGGATGGAAATCACTCCGTATATCTTCCTGCGCATAAGATGTTTCAAGAAACATGAACTGACACTTGCAGGTTACGATTAGAAGAAATATTGACTGAGTAGAAGTCAAGTGGTTCATGTGAACTGTGGTGTTCTGTACTTAAAGCTGAGGTGTTGGTTGGGCGTTCTGTGGTGTCGTGCGATGTAGCAGTCGTTCTAGGATTCTAACTGCTTTCGGTCTATGGCTTCAACCAGCATCCTGGTAACTTCCTCCGAAACCACACTCATCATCAGAGATAGCCACATCAGTGTGAACAGTTGTGCTCCCCTGCCAATCCTGTGCAAATTACTCGACTTTGCGGGAGAACCGATTCACTTCTCCAATTCGATTCTTTTAAAAAGCCATTTCACCATCCATTGTTTTCCTTCTTAGGACACCGTTCGTTTCCTTCGTCATCAGTAAACTGAGAATCATAATCAGTTGTGGCGTCGGAAACCCTCTCAACACAGTTGGAATTTCACCAAGCCTTCTAGTTGTTTGTTCGTTCCCCTTAAACTATAAAGAACGTGTTTGGTCGGGTGTAGCCTTTGGTTTGCGTCACTCCTAATGCGGTGGTCGTGTTCAACTACTTGGTAGTGATCTCTAAATTCTCTAGTAGTCTATCAGGTGGTTGTTGATCCGTTCACCTGGTTTTGTTTGAACTCCTAATATTTTCTTCCATTGTATTGCAGATTCATCCTCTTAGGAATACTTCTCTCTTTTTTTAAACTCGAAATAAATCTAACTCCCTTTGTTCTTGATAGGCTTGCTTTATGTCATTTTCCGTGTTACATTTCCCTCTCCTTCATAATTCCTCTTTGTGAAGGTTGACAGAGACATCCTTTTCTTACTTGTTTGGCTTTCGAATTTGCCATCCGATTTCACCGGATTTCAGTCTCATTGAATGTATATGTAGTGGACGCTTCTGTGGTATTATAGTTGCAGCCAGTGGATTCTATACGTACCAAAGCAAGGTGAACTCTGCGGTTACAGATAAATCCGAATAAAGCAGCACAGTTGCTCACTGTAACCTTCTCACAATCTTCCTAACGCCATTAGTTGTTGGTTGTCGTAACATACTTTCATCTGATTTGAAGGCAGATTTTTACCAGTTTAGATACTATGCGTCTTGTGCATACATTGATTGTGTACTCCCGTGACACACCTACCGCAACTGAGAACAGGGCACGCCCAATCAGTATCTATCATACTGAAGTAAGAGTCTGAAGTTTTTGTCTTTCTCAACTGTATATCTAGTTCACCGGTCGATCTAGGAAATCTAGGAATATTTAAGTTTAATCGACAATATTTTCAGCTTGGCCTCCATGTTTTTTCGAATGTGCTTGCTTCACTTGTGATTGAATGCTTCAGAATCCAGAGCCATTCTAGATACCAAAGTCCACAAGTGTGGTGTGAGTCATTTAAAAGTAGGCGCAAAATCCTCTTGTGAGATGGAGGATTGCTTATAATCTCGTCTTGTATTGTGCTATGTACTGTAAACATCCGCAGTTGCAATTGGTTTGTTACGTAATTGACAGCTAAAATTAGTTCTTCATCAGTAAATTGTAGACGAACAGGTTATGTGCAAATCTGTGTTGAATATTGTGTGTGAGACCTCGTTCTATTTGTATTATGCAAAGGATAGGTTAATGGTGAGGAAACCAATTCAGTGTTACTTCGCGCCCACCGATAAAAATTCCGCGGAGTTGACACTGCATCATTGCCCTCTGATACTAAACCAAGACATGTGACATTTGGTCCTCCTTGTTCTCCAGTCACTATGTACCAGCGATGTGACCTTGTATCGTAACATTTTTGAAAGGATGCTGTTCGCCTTCTGTAGGTACTCTGAGATGTGTGCACAAAGAAGTAAAGATGTTCCAAACGATATTAGCGAAGTGCAAACGGTCGTAGCCTAATCTGATCTTCCGATATCTTCCTTATCAGTGACTGTGCGCAAGCTGTTCGATGACGAATCTCCACTTGGCTTGCTTCTCAGCTGGACCGAATCAGGTCCCGACAAATTTAATCAGACGCTGGGTTTGAAGCGCTTGGTGCTGCAGGAAAACGAAACGGGTGATATTGAGGTGAGTTTGAACGCCTCAACTTAAAATGCCCGGAGTCGCTTTGCTTTGAAGTTGAACTCATTCTTTTTCATTCTATTGCTCTTAATGTTGTACTCACCACTAGTATATGCTGTGGAGGTTCGTGTGCACTGGTGTTTTGGACCCGATATGGGGATGCTAGCTACGAATATCGTGTCGTAAGTTGTGTTGTGTTTGACCTGCAACTGTTTCTTGTTACGTTGGTTTAGAGTACAATATCCAGTTGCTTGGACAAAAGTGACCGTCTCTCATGAATGACACTGCGCACTTTTTCAGATTGGCCTCTGGTTGAAGACTTCATGGAATTAGTTTTCAGTCAGAAATACCAAAGTGTTTCAGTTTTTCTTTTCCTTTGATCGAACCTCTTTCAGGTCGAAGCTTGTTATTACTCATTTGATCAAAATCTACTCCTGGTCACAACAACTTGTTTCCAGTTTCGTGTATTTGTAATCAATATGACGCATCCATGTTTTCGTAGTTTGTTCAACCGTATTACCCACTATTTCGCCATTTTTCTCTGCAGTGGTCCGGTTTCACCCTTTCCGAGCTTCAGACGTTTTTGCGTATTCTTAACCAAGAGGAGGCAGATTACCGCAAGCGCATTGAACTCAAGTATGAACTGAGACAAAAGGAAGTCATCCGACTACTGGAGCTGTACGAAGGTCAAAATAAGGCGCCCCAGTCGGACAATACCGAGTCCTCTTCGACCTTCAACTCGTCTGCCCCCACTCTAGTTTTTCGCCACAGAACAAATGTGGATGAAAATATTTCAGGAGGTACGCTCAAAGCTGTAAAAGGGGAAGAGTTTGGACTCGATAATTCCCTTTCAGCTCCTGTCTCACCGGCACGTCGAGTGGGGGAGCAGCTACCACATGACCAGTCAGGTATGTGTGCATGCGTGAAACCAGTCTTTAGTCTTTTTCTGACGTGAGAGTGGTATACAAGGAATTTGGATTAACTAGAAAACGAAACAAGTGGAGAATTGAATTGAGTAGAAGTCCTGGTGGGTACTAGTTTGTAATGGGACTGGGTGTTAGGTAGGCTTCGGTACTTGACCTATGGAGAGCATGGAGAGCTTTCGAAGGAATTCGTTGGATTGAGCCGAAACATGCCTCAAAATATTTGCTCACTGAAAAGTTAACCAAGCCATCTAATGAATTTGCACCGCCTCTAGACCGTGGTTTTAGCTACCGGAATCCTGGCCAGAGGACAGAAGAACAAACAGTAAAATCTGCGAACCAGACCGAGTGGAACAGATAGCGTCCCAACTATCATATTGTGAAAGGCTAGATGTGGGAATCTAAAGACAGTTTGGATGTGAACCAACTAAGCATCACCCACATATCTCACAGTACAATTTCTGGAGAGAATGACACTGTGATGGTTACTGAATAGATCATTCAGGGTTGATCGGAGGTGGGGGAAAAGTTGACGTGATGTTTCTGGACACTAAAGACGCGAAGATGTTTAACTGATTAGGTAATAACCTTATTCAGTACAGTTTCTAACTGCTCCAGATACGCGATGACCTCAGCTAAGCACTGAATGAGAAATTGAGAAATGACGCCCCATTACTCAGTGATGAAAGAAAAGAGTAGACATCTACGCTCGTTTGTTGTGTGCGGTTTGTTAAGTAGTCTAACTAACCTGGCCAGGATTTGTTGACGTCCGCGTCGGCGGAAAGCTGCAATGCTTGTCCTACGTCAGCACCGCCGAAGACGTCAGTGTAGCCAGTGAACAGCAGATGTACAACATTTGCATTTTAATGAGGTTTATCATGCTAACTTCACTATCTCTACGAGCCACATTTGGTAACGTGGTCTCAAATAGTCGAACTTCAAAGCTGGTGTAACTGACTGGTCTATCGGCTGATTATCGTGCGCTAGTTCTGTTTGCCGAGCCTGGCAGTTGGCGTTCAAAGGTTCCGTCACTTTACGAGGAGATGTCGTTGGTACCCGCAGTGAGGGTATCCCCTAGGTCAATACTCTGTGGTTTTAAAAAAGTAGACTAAAACTATGTGAGCACGCATAATTCGTACTTCTGTCATGTGCTCTGATATTTGCATTTCTAGTGGCTGGTCAATGCACAATAAATTTCATCTCCGCAACTTACCGGGTTGCTAATTTACAGATGTGTTCAAGATAAGGTTCTTGTGTGCTGTCGGAACCGCTGATTGGTTGTAGGGGAGGCTTTAGCAACCTCATGAGTGCTTTTATTGAACAGTGCAAATGTGCCGACAAGGGGATCAGACAAGTCGGATATACGAGGGACGGAAGACGCGCCCAATGATGACCACCTACCTGAAAACCGTACCTAGTCAAAAACTCTAAATTCATTAGCTTAGTTACCCCGTATCTAGTTGCATCCCATCAGTCTTATCTGTGTTGCTCTCTTCAGTACTTTTGTGTGGTGGCCTGTTCCGTTGTAGAACTAGAGGATAGGTGACATACGATCCCTGTATTATCTGTTATTTAGCAAGGTGATGGTTGCTTAGGTATATTACGACTTCATTGTTTTTTTCTGTTTCTAAAGATGTTTCCCATCCTGTGTTCCACGAGGACGAACCGCTGGGTGCTGTTTCGACAAACATAACACCATACCAGTCTCCTGAACGAAGACCCTCTACTGCGGCGTCTACGCTTCCACGTCTGCCTTCCACGGACGATAGGATGTTGGGTACGCTTTTCAAACCGTCGGCCTACAGGCAGATGAAGAAGGCAGAGAAAGCGCATAGGAAGCAGTTAGCCAGGCTTGAAAAAGACCGCGCCAAAGCTGAGAAGAAACGTCTAAAGGCCGAGGCAAAGTTGACACAACAGAAGCAGAAGCAACAATCTGAACAACACTCTCCCCATCATAGATGGCTTTTTGGGTTAGCCGGTCCTTCAACGAGCCCGTCATCTCAGCCAGACCCATCCAATACTCGTTCTACTTTAAAACACTGAAATCTATTGGTAGATTGGTCAGTGGTCAGTCACCCGGGCTTTCAGCAAACTTCATCTACATGTATATATGTATCTCCCCCTCTCTTTTCTAGCTAGGTCTTCCAAACGCCCTTGAATTACGTCTTGTTCAATTTAAAGTAGGCCAGTCTTTCAATCACTCATGAGCCAACTCTGTCGTTTAACCCGCTTTTGTTCTGCTATGATGCCTGCCTATGTTTATGCTCAACCGAATCAGACAGAACCCATCTGACAAACCTCACATTGGCATGCTTTCTAGACGGACCTAATAGGGACAGCCTTGGACCAACTTATCTTCATCACTATATCATCACCATTGTTCCTTACACGTTTTCTGTGCTGTTCAATTTGTCTTAGTGAGGAAACCGGCGTATCAGTTACTGATGTATTTTCCCTCAAGGCATTCGGGAATAGTTAATGGGAATTAATGGGGGTTCGGGTTGTCAACTATGTTAGAGTCGTTGTTGTTTCACTGGGGGCTATTCAACATTATTGTCAACTGGGGCTGTTGGGTTATGCGCTTTGTTTTGGTAGCTAAGCATGCGGTTGTCTCTCATTTTGACGTTGTCAGCTTATTTCACGGTAATTTCCCTTCTGCGTCTGGCCAAACTGGTATGCTTGTCTTCCGAGCCCGCTGTTCTTCGAGTTCTACACAACAAGGTGCGAATACGTCCACGCAGCTCCGCTGTCTGCTCCGAGTTGGTCACACTCAGACCTGTCACATAGCCCTGGTTGAAGAAGAGAAAATACTTTGCTTTAGTTCGCATTAGTACGCATTTGCGAGTTGTTTGCAGTGGTTTTCACAGTAGTGTAACAGTAGGATAACATAATAATGGTGATAACATTGCTTACCGGTATCAAGGCTGGATCGAAACCTGTGCCGTGCAGTCTGTTTCGACTGCGTTCAGCTACCGAAAGGCATGGCATTCTGGAAAGGATGGAGGGAGGTCGGAGAAGTCAATGAATGTGACACTGAGCCAGAGATTCAACCAACAGTTTTGATTCAACTGTGTTTCATTTCACGGTTAATGCTTCATTTTCACTTCTCACCTGGAGCACCCTTGTCGAAGGGCTGTACCACCAGCGTCGTTTTGTTCCAACCGGCCACGACTGCCCATGATAAAATCAATACTTTACTTTACTTTACTTTTGATTCAGTGGATAAAATTGCGAAGGATTCTTACGATTGGTTGAACTAGTGATTTTCGTGGTTACATGACCAAATGAATATGGTCTTAGGCTCGTCGGCTAAAAGCCACTGAACTATCAGATCTTCTGAGATTCCTTATTTAACTCAACTTTTTCTATTCATACACGCTCAAGTTGAATCATGACAATTTTAGTGTATTCCTGGTCGAACACCTTGGACTGATGAGTAAGATGGGCGGGGTTTACCCACCGTAACTTCATGTGTGGACTGAACTATGTAGTGATCGATTTTTAACGGGGTCGAAACTTGTACTTTTTTTCCTCGACCAAACGGTGACGCGTGGAATAGCTGACTGATTTCAACTTCCGTCCAGTGACTTGATGCCAGGATAACGTCTCTACTGCACACCACTTAAGCTTTCGGTTTATTGTTTCCGTTCTCGGACCGACGGCTAATACTGTAAGCATAAGCACAAGTAATTCTTAACTTCTTATCCAATGCGTGAAGCGTTTCTATGAGTTTATGGCATCAACTGCGAACATTTCCACAAAGAAACAAGTCATCAGAGTGGTCGTTCAACTTCGGATCCTCCATGGCCGTATCTGGTCTGTGAGAAACCCTATAAACTTGAATGCTTCAAGTTTGAGTAGCTACAGTGATCGGGTTCAGGTGGAATGCAGTTGACCGTCTTTGCCGGATGAACAGGGTAATCCGGTAACTCTGACTAGGTGGAATTGCAAACAACTTTCAATGATTTAATTTAGTCCTGCTTGAAAAATCGCATAAATTATTTGTATTCTCCTTACCAATACAACGACTGATACATCAATGGTAACTTGTAATGGGCGGAATGAATGCTGAACTTTTGTGTTAGCGCGGATGAGTGTACTCAGACCTGTGGGTCTGTACCACCGCAGGATGCGTGAGATGGACTCACCAGTCATCTGCTTCGACCGCAGTCACTGCAGTTACTCGCTTCTTCATGACTTAGGTGCTAAATGGAGAATAGGAAATCGGTACCTCATAAACAAGCCTTGAAACAGTGACTGATAAAGATGATGCTGCTCGGAAGGTTGCAATTCCCGATCTTTGGGTTTCGTGAGTTGTGCACTGCTGACGATTCTTAACAAGGTTTAAGCAGCTGTATGGTGATGCGTGGCATTTCAACATGGACTGCAAGATTAACGGTAGGTTTGGAGACAGTGAGTTCTCTCTATGCTTTCATAAGTGAGTTTTCTCCTGTTTATGGTTCTATCGTACCTACACAGTGGCGCACCTGGGTGTTTTTGGTAAATCTGGACGGGGCATTTGGGCTCATGCAGATAGTGAACCAGCGTGATATTTCAGGATAGTGCCAAAAACACTGTCCAGTTTGCGCGAATTTGCTCGGTCTAGCTCATATTTCCTGCTGGTATGCCCTTGTTCACTAAGCTTTCACAAAAGAACGATACTGGGCAGCTGAGAGACAGCGATATTAAAAGAGATAGTGGTGGTTAAGCGGAAATGAAAACGAAAGCCACTGAGTTCTCGGTGCAAATTTGACGTGATACACTCATTGTTGTAGAAACCTAGAATGAATTGCAGATGGAACGGTTAATTATGAGGCAAGATAGCTTTCCCTAGTCAACTAAGTTCCCAATTGTGTTCGGTTAACTGAGGTTGGCCACGCAAGAATGAGCGGTTACCCATACAAACATCATGAGTTCGGGGTATTTCAGCTTTTAAGACGAGGTGGTGATCCGGGGTGTCCTTGGTTGGAAACCAGCCCTAGCTGTTGGATTGTCCGTAGAATACGGCAGTGAAGCATCAGTGCCAACACTGATGTCGCTGTCTTGGATGATGATGGTTATGTCCGTGGAAAAGCAAGTCCGGTTGTTCTGTATCTTAGTTCTACCGCTCGCAGGAGACGTGCCTCATTTGAAACAGACATGGCGTCACGAAAGTGTAAAATGTTCCTACCCGATAGGTGTTTGACGCAAATAAATCGCTTGTTTCCGTGGCTGAAACTCTAAGGAATTTATCACTAAATGCGTTTTGAATGTATGCAAAACCGCAATCGCTTTTGTTGGATATTTTTTCTGCTATACACCTATTACGACCTGAAAAAGGCCGAGCGAATACGGCTGCGGTAGAGAACAACTCTCACCATGGGGGAAAAAACAGACCGGCGCAAACGAATACCGCGTAGAGCCGCAATGTCATATCGGAGGAGTTGTTATGGTGAAGGTACTATCATGCGTTAAAAACTTCGTGGATCCTTCCATCCATTTTGTTTGTATCCCTGCTACACCGAATAAGGTTATCGAGTCAAACGTGATCCAATTCAGCCAGGAGCGTCGTGAGCNTTTTCTAGATTTTACAGTACTTAGCTTCTTCGTCCCACCGGACCACTTTGTTGCTCCATTCCTCATGATCTCTGTCTGGAATAATAATTACCAGTGACGCTCGCAAGATTCCTGACATTTCAGATTTTGCATTTCGTTGATGTGAAAGTTTGGAAAGACAAAGTTAGCAGACAATCCCTGAAGGAAGAAGGAGACAGAGAGTTCACCGCGTCATCTGGGATAAACGCATTTCTGCAACCATTCGTGAATAGAAAATCCTTAATGAAAGCAGGTCGACGTGCTTTTTCCTGTTTTGCATCATATATCGGTAAACAATGATTTCCCACTTGCATGTTCAGGTGAAAAATAATCTTGATGGAAATCCGCGGACTACGCCTGCCTGATGCGCTCCAAGAGGGCTAAACCTGTAGTGGGCTGTCGAAAAATCATCAGCACCCTTTGTAATCAGTGTGACGTTGAGAATAATCTGCCGTTGTTAACGCAGCGTGTGCGTATGAAGAGGAAAATGTCTATCATTTATGTGACTGCGTCAACAATTTCAGTGTGAACGACAAATTTGGATGATTTAGATTCAAATGGCATCGAGAGACACTCTTTTCATCTGTATTTTTGATATACTTCGCAGGCACGAATGTCGCTATGCTTTCAGTTTCGTGGCGCAAGACTATCTCTTGTGAATATCACTCATCATTGAACAGTAGGGTGGTGACCTTAGATGACGGTATGAATTTGGGAGTTGTGAAACTTGAGTCCTTTTGATTTGCTTCCGTAATTATTCATTAGTGAATTCATATAACGAATTCACTGAACACTATCACGGAAAATATTAGTTACTTCAACTGTACTGAACAGATGATTCATCTCGCCGATGCGTCATTCAAGATATGTAGGCTGATGAATGGATGAGGAAAATCGCGCAAAGTATGATGGATACTGACCTTTACAATAGGGAAATAACGATAGGTATGGTTTTATTGCCAACTTGCCAGGAGCTACAGAAGTAACAGACTAACACTGTACAGCCGCCGCACTGTGTCGTGACCCGTAGTGTGCCGTTGCATCTAAACATCCAAAGGATATGTGTAATGGGTTTAAACCACATCCTAAATCATCCAGTCAGACGATGATGCAACGCAGCGGACAAAAAGACTTAATCTTGCAACAGTCCAAGAGACAGCGCAAAGTGAGGGTACTCATCCAGTTCATTCTTTCTAAATGTTTTGACCAACTTGATATGGGTTAGTCAGTTCGTCAGCACCTGAGGCTTATTGTTCCCAACGGCTTAGCTTACTTTTGAGCGACTCGTCTCTTGTGGTTCTGACAAGTCATTTCTAAACCAATCTGAATGTCATATCTAAATCTCCAAAAGCCGCACATTTATAATAAGATTTCGTTCCTCACCTCTCCTCCAACTCTCGATACTTTTGATTAATTCTCTCGCTCACCCGCACTTGGTAACTCGTAGTTGGTTCGACGATCAAGTAGCAGTTTATGCGTCGCCATTTTGTCATTGATCTCACGCAGTGAGTGGCGCATACTTCTGAAGTTATCCGCACTTGGTAACTCGTAGTCCAAAATACCGTCCAGCCGTGCCTATAATAGGTCAATCATAATTCCATGGAAAAAGTAATTTACCACTGGGAAGATGCAAGGAAATGGAGTGTCTTACACCCTTCCAGACTGTCAGTATGTCTGATAAACATTGCAGGCAATACAAATTCGATTGATTCAAGCCATGTTATATAGACGGCGTCGAACTGTCATGCATTCGCTGGACACAATGAGGCGATGCTCATATTATGGATCAAATAGTGTGGAAGTACACATTTACCTGAAAAACTTACGCCTTTCAGCGTAAGCCCAAGCTCGGTCTTGAATCAATTTTGTTGTGCACCTTCCTTGGAGGGACTAGCAGGTGCTATTAGATCATTCACAGCTTAACTGGAATTCGTGCTGACTACCAGCACTTATTCAAGCTTTGACAAAACTTACTGCTCTATCAATAACAGGTAGGTACGTCCAGAATGCTTCCATTACTTACAAGGCCTTAGCTTTTGAGTCTACATCTCTCAATTGCGCGCACTTGCACGAAGAGAGTCTTTCTGGTTTGGTGCATTATCATGAAGCTGAACATCGGTTAATTTTGCGTGCTCCTGTTTCAATACTGTTGATTCTGTTCGAACAATTAGGGATCATACTATGTACTGATGGAAAATTCGGAAAAAACTAACACTTACCATAGATACAATCCTGTTTGGGTCCACAGGTAACTGGTCCTTCAAGGGTAATTACTAAACCTATTAGTATCAGGAACGGTCTCAAACCGTAACTGCATCGCTGGTGACAGTTTAACTATAGCTGGAGAATGACCGGAATACTCCAGATTCTCACGGTTCCGTGGTTTGCATACTTAAATGACGGTAATGCGATTGTCCGGTATGCTGAACAAACCATAACTCTCCCGAACTGGTTCGTTTCGCCTTGTCATTTGACCAAAACATCACTTGTGCTTGTTGTGTTGCTTGAAGTGCGTGCTAACTACCGTGCCAAATACTAAAAGCGACTTTTAGGCCATGTGATCATTAGAAACCAGTGTCAAAGCTGTTCGGTTTAATCCATGAAATACCCAATGTGGTATGCTCAGGAATTATGTCCAGGAGTTATCTCCGAGACGTGGTGACCGAATGGAGCAATGCATGGCGGTTCAGTGCTTGTCGGTTCCTGGTGATTTCCGTTTTTCACGTTTGAATACACCATTTCGCTAAACTCGTTTGTGTTGGGATTTTTAGTTGAGCTTTGCAGGCAACATAAAATCTAAGTACCAGTGATTTGGGGAAAACAGGCTACCAAACTTTACATCAGTTCTCCATGTTTCGCTTTTATATCTGGATAACGGATATGCAGGGAACATGCAGATATTTGATACGTTCACTCCAAAAGAAGCATACTTACACCGTGCAATCCAAAGACTGTTCTAAATGCCCAAAATGACCCGAAAATTACGTCAAATCTGTACAGGGTGCGTACACCGCCGTTCTTCTCAAGTAATCCTTTCGCAGTTTCGGTGAGCCATCTGCCCACAAAGTGTCTCTTTCACAGGGTGTAGTGTACCATGTGCCCATAATCAATATAATCAAGGACAGCAACATTGGTGTTAGCACTGATGCTCCACTGCCGAGGGAGGGGACCTAGTGTTGGCCTATTTCAATCATACTGAGGTGCCTATACCTCCAACCGCTCAATCAGACAATCTGGAAAGAAACGGACAGCACGAACGCCACTGACATCGATTAGCCGCCATTTATTGCGAAGTCTTCAGCCACACACAGAGGGGGTCACGGGGACCCCATCCTAGGAGGCCTACAACACCCATGTGCCCAGGTTATGTTATATTGACAGGTTTCTAAACTACTGACATTCTTTCTTCGTTTTCACGTTAGCTATGTAGAACATGTTTGTGGTCCGTCCAACAGCGTATCACCAGAAGTCTGCTAAAAAGCGTGAGTTTTTAGACTAGACGAACCACTGACAAAAAGTAGTTGATTACCGCCATTAGATTCGAATGACCTTGACCTCAATGAAGACACGATGTGTGAACCATCCATTCTGCATCTCACCCAAAGATTATTCCGAACATGGTTTGATGTCATCTCATCTTTTTTGCCGACATGACGCTGTATGCTATCTGCACATTTGAAGTAGCGTAGGGTGTACATTGATCGGATTCGCAGCCCAAAAGGCTAAGTTATTCATCTACCGTTCCTAAGTTCACAGTCTCGACACAGCTTGTTACCCACACTTTTGTGGCTAAACCCATATTACATTAATGTATTCTATCACAATTACAAACTGAAGACCTAGGGATTCGTGTCCTATTTCCAGGACATTCGTCATACAAGGCGTAAATGGCTTAAAATGTATTTAGACAATAATACAGATTGCAACCGAACACTTTCTCAGTTTTTATATGATTGCATTAGCAATACTTGATGGGTGAACGTTGACTTTCCCCAGTGCGAACCAGCATAGTGTCTAGCCTTTTGGTACTTGGAAACTTGACAGGTCTGCTTTCTAAACTGACACTGTTTTTCCCCCTTATGTTCAGCACTCGACTTTTTAATGCCACACTATTTGTGCGATGCCGATACAGCTAGCCTGAGATGACAATACCAAAAGCGGTCATAGTTGCGGAATATTCTCATCAGCTATGCCCACAGACCTGTGTAACGAAACCGTACTATGTAGATTACCAAAAAACTTTACTGAAACGGGCTTAAGGATCAGACGGGTATAATGTACAGTACAGTGCGCGCAACTTCTTTGTTTCATTCTATTCTTAAATCTCCAAGGATCCAGGTATGCTTGCTGCAAATAGGATAACAGAAAGCACAGCTATATATTTTGCCAAACTTTAAAGTAGTCATGTGGCGACCTGATGTTGATGATACAGTTGGCGGCCACTTTTTTCGGCCTCAGTTACTACATGGGGCTCCAGGGGAGGTGTCAGCTCTAATGGTCCCAAATAAATTTGACTACTGTTCAGGGTTTATCTAAAGTACAAGAGATAAGTGATTTGCCGTTAGTAGCCTCGGATATCCCCTGTCATTTAACTGGCTTTGTTTTTCAGAAAAAACTGAAAAAAATCTAGTCTCACTCAGATCTAGGCGACGGTGGAATGAGGCTACATGTTGGAGTACCAACGGCAGTGAAGAAAATAATATCCGTTTCGGAACTACTAAGAAGGCCACATTAGGAGCAACTGAATTTTTTGGGACATATTATTCATCCTAGATTTTACGCACCGCTTTCATACCGATCCAGATTTGAGTTCCAGATTTTCAAAACATACTGGCAACTCTTATCAGTCTATGGTTGACTGACTTCAACCTGGATCGTTATGCACGACGAATGTCGATAAGCCGGATTAAGGATTTGAGGTCAAACAAGAAGTGGAAAAAGGACAAACTGATAAATTCGAACTGAGCGACACAAATATCGCTCAAAGTTAAGCATGTACTTGTATCTGATGGTACAAACTTTAATGGTCTATTCTTCGGCGCTTGGGACGGGGCAAGAAACGACCCGAAATTTAAGCTTTAATGAACGCTGTTTAAATTGCTGCGGAAAATAGCGATCACAAGTAAATGAAAGGTTACTTGGTTTAAGATAAACCTAGTGTATTCCTATCCTTTCGTTCGACAAATCATTCTTCCATGCTGTTTTTAATGATGGATAGTCAAACGAACAGGAACGCAGAAAATAAACTTTTTAACTTTCCACCAACAGGCTTCTTCTTACAGTAGTTGCAGAAAGTCTCAAAATATGGGTTGACAAACCGTTTGGAGGAAACCGCGGAAGCAAAGCACCAGTATGCACTATCATTCTACACACTCGTGCATTGTGTTGCGGTTTTGAGTGGAAGAGCCAACTACAGTAAACGTGGTTGGATCTTATGCACATACTCCCGAAGCTAGAGTTAATACTTTTGCTTTTCTCCAAAGTAGGTTTTGCTCATTCGTGTCACACAACCACTTCATATTGAAAAACCCGTTCTTGGCGAATGTCACACAAAGCGTCGACAATAGTGTGTACGGGAACCAGCTAAAGCTGGCTTCGTGGAAGACAGTAAGTTTTGGTGAAAGAGCCAAATAACAGTATACCTACCTCAATACGACGAACCCTTTGCCTTGCTGTTTCCGAAGGTTGAATGACAGGTTGTCTCGGCTCCATATGTACGTGATATTCATCCTGTCGAAGAAATAATCGATAATCGATGTAACCAAGTGTACAAAAAGGTAGATGCTGAAGTGAGTTGAATGACAGGTTGTCTCGGCTCCATATGTACGTGATATTCATCCTGTCGAAGAAAATAATCGAAATCGATGTAACCAAGTGTACAAAAAGGTAGATGCTGAAGTGATTACGTTAACTGCTTCGTTTTAGCATGAGCAGTGAGAAAACAAAAAGGAAGATTGTCGATTGTAAACATTAGTTGGTAAACCAATTTTGTAGCTACTTAGCTCCTGTTTTTGCGCGAGCTGCATCGGTCACTGCTGTCCGAAAGTCGCTTTCCAGCATCTTTGACTCTGTTCCCCAATTGAAAATAAATGCGGCTTCTTTTGGAGGCCACTGACAAAGTCAGATAACTGATTTCATGCAGGCTGACACATATGCTGCAGTAGAAAGTCAGTTCAAAGGAAAATTAGTCATCGGGATTCAGCTAAGTTGTTATACATCCAAAACGGGAAACAGAATTATACGGCATTCACTATCATCCTTGTTGGCGGGGCGCTCATCAGTGTACATTTGCTTTTGGGTCTGAGCCTTGGACCAGATGGTGCCGATTTTTCTCTGAAATAACTTCACTGAAATCGTTCTTTGAGCAAAGTCAGTCTACACCGAAAAGCCGAGAGCGCGCAGTAGAGCTGTTTATCCTTACTGGGACTGGTCAGCAGTGCGCGCGATTAGAAACCACTAGATTTCTGTTAATGGTTGGACAATAAGCCATTGGACCAGCAGTGCGACAAACTCGTACTTAAGTGGGACATAGCGCTCCTCATCCTTCTATTACAGAATTCGCCTGGTCACGTCATCACCTTTTGAATGCCTCCTTGACTGATGGCTTCTCAGATAGAATGCCCACCCATCCTGCTTAAGTACTCAGAGCTTTGTATCTATCGTTTGGCTATTTATGACGAGGTCATATAGTTTGAAATGAAGCTTGTTACATACGCTTCACCGTGTTGCTTATGACTGAAACTCATGTTCCAATCTGTGGATAGTCAAACTTGGAAACCGGCACTCAGATTGGGTATGATGCGAACTGCTTGTGTTAACAGTGTCCACTACAACTGGCGTTTTGTCCGTCGATTCTAACACACCTTTCTTAATTCATATTTTGGACTCAATCATGTGGATTGGACCTTATGGCTTGTACAGACCCGACAAAGCCTAAAGATATGAAGTCGGTCGATGAAATCAAACTGAAATGTCATGTGACTATATTTTACTGTAACCAGCACAACTGACAATATTTCATTAGCTGCGTTTTTTCTCCTGTCATGTAATCTAGTCGATATCTAGAATCATTTATCGCTCGAATCTGGTAAGTAAACAGACTAGTTCTAGGGTGACAAAACTGACTAAACTTTCACAGGCTTAGAGTTGACTCGTAGCCTTGGAAGCATTTTGAAACAAACGCTGCAATGATAATCAGTAGAGTGCGCTCACATGGGACAGATTTAAGGTTGATGCACTGGTTATAAGGAAGTATATATATGAACCACCTGCTGAAATGTCTGCCGGTAGCAGCTTTTGCATTGCATACAAACCCAAGCTTTAGATTTTTGGAACACATGCACACCAGACCTTATGTTCATATTTTCTACTGAGGGAATTAAAAAATATCAGGCAACGAGCAAGCCACGATCCTGGTAACATATCCGTTCTAACAGCTGTCTTGAACGAGGCAGAAAATTTTGGTTGTTTATTTCTTCGCTTGACGGTTTTTGTCCACCAATCTCGGCTACTAGCCGTCACGAGAAAGACCATTGTCATCGATTGATTTGATGTGAGTCAAGATATGTTTAATGTTGTAAAACTGCTATAACACAAGGATCGTTGAGTAAGCAGGCCTCGCCCTTCTGTGCGTTCAAGCAGAGTAGCATACATGTCATATATGCACTGCACATCGATCACAATTAAGTTTGGAGACTTCCTGTTTATCACGGAGCTGACCTGTTTTTACTGGGAAACTTAAACATGTATGTTGGCAGGGCAGCGAATAGAAGGACCACCCCTCTCAGGCGTATCAGGCCTCAGACTACATATCAACCGTGTGCTTAGTTGCTCGAACATTCGATGATTCTATCGATAAAGTGCATAACGATGTGCATAGTACCAGAAGAATGAAAATGGTGACAATGAATCGACGGTTTGTTTTAGTCTCCGCGACAGACGGTTTAGTTTTTTTAGGCTACAGCAAAAGGTCACAATCAAATTTGATCGGCTTTCAACATAACCAACCCAGGTCAGCACAATAAAATAAAATCTTCAAAGAAACTGGAATAACGAGGCTTAGTTTTTAACATTTTCATTAAGTTCATAGCCGGTAGGTACTGGAAGCTCAAGACCGGTTAAAACGTTCCGCCAATTCTTGGAGTGTTAAAATTGTGAATCTGTTTGGGATTTTCTTGGACTCAAATGTTGTAAAACGAGATTTACTTGAGTTTCCAGCGTATTTTTCAAATGGATGTATTTTGCCTATTGCGTACAGTTTGGTATTTTATTAGGGTTGCTCTACCCAACCCTGCACTGACGGTATCCCCCCCCACTGGGGAAGAAACCGCTGCAACCTAAATGCGAACATGGGTGACTAAACCAGTAGTCAAAAAATGCACCCTAGCTATATGTATATTCCACAACATCTACCAACAACAGCGAGGAGACAGCACTGTGTCCTGAAGAGGTTAGAGACTTTATTAAAGCAGGTCAAGACTGTGCACAAGAATGGAAATATTTCAAGGTGAAAATATACTACCTAAAGCTTTGGAACATAGTTTTGAACCATGTTAGATCTAATTGCTGTTCTCAATCCAGTGCCTAGTGCCAGAAGAGAACACAACAGGCGGTTGCATGAGAGTTCAAAAGTTACAACGGCTTCGTGCTATTTAAAGGATGTTTTCTGATATTTATCCAGGTTGTCTGATAGGCGTTTAGTGAACACCCTGTAACATCGATCGCGCTTCTATGACATGCCTGAACGATGATCACATTCGGTCGTGCTGCTGTGGCGTGCCTGAACACTCATCGGTTTTTGCTGAATTGAATGAATGATTGACTGGTCCAAATTGATCCCCAAGCTGTGTGAGGACATATGAAATGTTGATCATTCCTAACGAGGATCGGCCGGTCGTGCGGTACTCCGTAGCCTTTTTGCACAATGTGTGACCTCGTTTTATGCATGCCATAATCAAAAGCAAGTTTACAGATTAGCCGATTTAATTTAATTTGGCGTTTGAATGCGTATTCGGTGAGAAATACCTGATCTAGAATTAAGCAGACCATTTCTGAAGCCGCAGATAAGTGGGACGGATTAAAGGAGCTCTCATCTAGGAGAATCATTCACAGTTCAACCAGGAGACTATCTAACCTGAAAGGTTTTACCTGTCGCAAAAAGAACACCACCATAGTGGAAGGGGGAGAAATCATGGTCTACAGAAATTTAGTCATTGAAATATAATTATATTCAAGAGGATTTATCATCCCGCCAATGCAACAACGAGTTCATGTTGTGATGAAGCACCCATTATTCTAACATAATTTATGGTGTCGCTGGCTTCATGATGAACGCTGTTTGGTGGTTCCCACTCTCAGTGTCAGCAAAGACCCTACGCCTGGCCAAATGAACACACTACCTCAAGAATATATGGGAGGTTTACTGGTGCTTAGCTCCATGTAAAAATTATTGAATTGCGGCATACAGCAGGTGGGAAAAGAAACATTCTATGGTACTCTTGCGCTGGTTGTGCTCAAGATTTTTTAAGACGTAACATACTACTTTGCATTGCAACTTTAGCATTCGTTTTCCTTCCTATTGCTGATAATAGCATGATCATGAGGTATCCTGTACCTGCAGTACCGAAAAATCAATGAATCCGGTATTAGCCCAAACATTTTTAGTCAAAATATCTATTATGGTGCAGCCAATATATTCGGTAGCGCGCCAGGAACCCAACTAGATGGACGTAAAAAAACAGCATTCCTATGGCTGCATGGAAAATTGGTGGCACAACTGTCTGAATTCAAGGTGAACCTCGGCTAAACGGATGTCAGTGTTTTGTGATCTAGTCTTATTTGCCTCGCATATAAACCATGTAATCATTTATCGGAACCTGTGGAAAATGAGTGCATAGTAGGGAAATCTTAGCAAAACAGTTTGCACCTATGACTAGGCTGCAATCGTGATGTAAACTCAAGGTCTCATTGTAGAGACTCTCAACCCTCAGAGAGAAGGTGAAATGAAATGGAATTGTACACTCACAGTACGTAGCACACACTCTAGACTAAGACCTCATTAAATTCGGTTTTGTGTCTTAGTTGAACCCCGAAAATTAACTAACAAGAAGGGGTAAGTCAGAATTAAAATAAAGCAATCTGATACCGACACCCTTCTTACCAGATTTGTAAAATAAATCATAAATATCTAATCATGTACGCATGGAGGGGTTACCCGATGTTTTTCAAGGCCACATGAAAAATTGTAGGCAAGTTTCGAGATGTCTCATTTGTAAGCAATCAATCAACTGTATGAACTCGTCATGTTGTGAATTCTCGGCCTACTGAAAAAGATATATCGAAATCATTTTAAGTATGAATCAGTAGGAATCTCACAATCCCTCATTGAGAATCTAGAGATGACCACAAAAGACTCCAAAGTGTCTTTCGAGATGCACAACAATCAGATTTCGCAATAGTGTGAATAGTGTCTGAGATTTCTCAACTTGATCTTGACTCATACATGGACTACTATCAAGCTTATTATTGTCATCAAGTAGTTCTGAGAATTTTATACAGTCATCGTATAAAACTGCCAGGAAGATTCAACACAAAAAACGCAAGGTAATTCAGTATTATTACTTGCCCTTAAACCTTTTCAAATCTTCCGTGCACACAGCAGAACCTTGGGAATCCAAATGACATTTTCAGAGAATGCTGACTTTTTTGGGATGAGGGTGTGTTAAGTGTTT